CGGTTTGGCGCTTTGGTCGCGGACTCCAGACAAGACCCTTCAGTCCATAGTAGCCGCCATCAGCAGTCCGAGCAGCTGCTTGTGAGAACGATGCCTGATAATACTGAGGCTAGCAACACTAACGCAGAGCCGGTATAGCAGCAGCAAAGGCGACACCGTAGAGCTTGTCGAGCAATAGTCCAGAACTCCCCCGAACTGCCTAAGGGAAAAGAAGAGGCGAGCTCGGGGACCGTGAAGATCACTCCGCTTCTTACTATGCCGTCTCCTCTATCTCCCAAACTCTTGGCCACTGCCAAAGGATTTCAAGGTACCTCCCTTAGACAACTATGATGGGTCGTAGACTCATTTTAGTCTCAAATACACTTAGCCGGAGCAGATGAATCATGCATGTGCGTTGCTTTCTCCACAACTTTTAAGGGGGTAGCTCACACATGGTACAGAAACCTTGCGCTTGGGATGATCAAAAGCTGGGCGTAGTTCATGTAGATCTTTAACCTCACACTTCATTACTAGTAAGAGGTGCTCGAGGTCCCAAGAAAGCCTCCTCAGCATTGTCCAAAGAGAAGGAGAATCTATCCGCAGCTACATCAAGAGGTTCAATGATGCATGCCTGCAGATACCTGACCTAGACCCCGCAGTGAGGCTCACAACAGTTAAAAGAGACATCACACACAAAGAATTCAAGTGGCACGTGGTTGCCAACAAGCCTAAAGATGTAACTGAATTCCTCAAGCTCGCGGACCAGTTCATCGGAACAGAGGAGGAGATGAACCAGAAGAGTGAGAATCCATCCGTTAAGAGGAAAAGAGAAGGTGAGACCTCAACTAATGGGGACAACAAGAGGAAAAAGGAAGAGCCAGCTCGAGGAGGAAAGCCAGATCAGCATTCTTGAGCTCCTCAAGCTGAAAGAAATTACACACCCTTGAACGCGAAGCGAGCAGAAATCCGCTTGGTGATCAAGGATGCTTCTTACGTGAAGTGACCACCTCGGATGAGAGGAGACCCGAATACTAGAAATAGAAATGTATATTGCTATTTTCATAGAGATCATGGTCATAGCACCAAGAATTGTAAAAACCTCTGCGACAAGATAGAAGAGCTCATCCGTCGCGGATATTTGAAGAATTTTGTATTAAATGATAATAAAAATCAAACAAGTCGACAAGGGGAGCAAAATAGAGACGCTCCCGAATCCAGCAGCAGGCAAAACGAGCAGCCGTAGAGATAGCTGCCCGAAGAGAGGCTAGTTCGTGGAGTGATACATATGATCACTGGCGGATCGAATGTCGTGGGCTGCACCTCAGCCGCAGCAAAGACATCAGCTCGCGAAATCGAAAGAGAAGAACAAAATCCTCCAAAGCGACCGAGGTTAGAAGAACCCATTCTCTTCATTGAAGACGACATGCGCGGAGTCTACTACCCCCACGATGATGCACTCGTCATAAAGATGAGAATAACTGACTTCAAGGTGAAGCGCGTCCTAGTCAACTCCGGCAGCTCGGCGGACATTCTCTTCAATCAGGGATGTCCATTACCAGAACAGGGTTAGCCACCCAGCTTGGGTAAAAAAGGTCAATTGTAAGTGGCGCATGTGCGTCAACTATACCGACCTGAATCGAGCTTGCCTAAAGGACTGCTTCCCACTTCCTAAAATCGACTGTTTGGTGGATGCGACCTCAGGGCACGAGTTGCTGAGCTTCCTGGATGCTTATTCGGGCTACAACCAGATTAGAATGAACCCTGCCGATGAGGAAAAAAATGGCCTTTATAACCGAGCTAGGCCTATACTGTTACAAGGTTATGCCCTTCGGACTGAAAAATGCCGGGGCAACTTTTCAAAGACTTGTAAACTGATTGTTTGAGCCATTGATCGGCAAAAAAGTAGAGTGCTATGTAGACGACATGGCGTCAAATCTCAATTTTCAAATGATTTAATAAAAGATTTGCATTCTGTTTTTGAAATTTTGCGCAAGTTTAATATGAAATTAAACCCCAATAAGTGCGTCTTTGGTGTCACCTCGGGTAAGTTCCTGGGTTACATCGTTAATCGATGTGGTATCGAGGCCAACCCCAATAAAATCAAGGCCATTCTAGACATGAGACCACCTAGAAAATTGAAGGAGGTTCAGAGGTTAAAYGGACGCATAGCCGCTCTGAGCCGCTTCATGTCTAAATCGGTAGATCGTTGCCTGCCTTTCTTCAAGGCAATTAAAAGAAGCAAAGGCTTCGAATGAACCGAAGAGTGCCAGCTCGCTTTTGATGAGCTCAAAAGGTACCTCGCTAGCACCCCGGTTCTGACCCGACTCGAGGAGGGAGATATTTTGGAGTTGTACCTATCCGCGAGAGACGAGGTAGTCAGCTCGGTACTGATAAAGGAAGTAGATTGGGCTGAACAACCATCTACTATGTTAGCAAAGTGTTGCAGGAGGCAGAAACGAGGTATCTAGAGATTGAAAAGTTGGCGTACGCGCTAGTTGTTGCAGCTCGGAAACTTCGATCGTACTTTCAAGCTCATACGATTGTCGTTCTCACCGATAAGCCTCTAAAGCAAGTCTTGCTCAAACCCGAGGTCTCCGGTAGATTGACGAAGTGGGCCATCGAACTCAGCGAGTATGACATCCAATACAAATCGTGAACTGCTATCAAGGCCCAAGCCTTAGCTAACTTTGTCGTGGAATGCACTTTTAGCACCGAGGTCCCTGAGTTAGTCGAGCCCGTACACAGCAAGGAAGCTTCAACTAGCGTGGCACCTCTCCCGGTTAGACTGAAGCCGACCTGGGATGAGGAGCCCTAGATTCTCCATGTGGACGGCTCGTCAAATCAGCAAGGTAGTGGGGCTGGAATCATTCTGTATGGGCTAAGTAGGGTGAAACTGGTGTATGCACTTTGGTTCGAGTTCGCTGCATCCAACAATGAAGCAGAGTACGAAGTGTTGATAGCTGGGCTCGCCTTAGCAAGCGAAGTATGAGCTAAGCACCTCATTATCTACAGCGATTCCCAGCTCGTGGTCAACCAGGTCACCGATGACTATGAAGCCCGCGAACCGACAATGGTCGCTTACTTATCCAAAGTCAGAGAAGCTATGCACGACTTCCAGTCCTACTTCATCCGGTAGATCCCGAGGTCCGAGAACGTTGAGGCCAATGCCTTATCTCGATTAGCTAGTACAAGCGACAACACCATGAGAACCGTGCACATAGAGAACTTGCCTTGGCCTAGCATTCTTTGGGGGGGGAGGGGGCAGAAGAGGTCGCTCCTGTTGCGCAAGCATAGCCGAGCTGGATTGATCCAATCGCGAGCTATCTGCTCCACGGGACCCTCCTTGTAGACTGTAATGCCACCAGAAGAGTAGAGCATTAGGAAACCAAATACGTCGTGATAGACGGACAACTATACCGAAGATCCTACACGCTCTCTTATCTGCACTGCTTACGACCCTCCGAGGTTGAGCTTGTACTTCGCGACACTCATGAGGGTTTGTGCGGTGGACACCAGGGGGCCGGGCTCTCGCTTAAAAAGCGCTATGACAGGGCTACTATTGGCCAACGATGAAGGCATATGCGATTGAGTTCGTCAAAAGATGCGACAAATGTCAAAGGCACGCCAACATCCACCACCAGCCTGCTGCCGACCTAAAGTACCTCACCAGCTCATGGACCTTCGCACAGTGGGGAATTGACATACTTGGACCATTCCCGCCAGCGATAGGACAGAGGAGGTTCCTAGTGGTAGTAGTGGACTACATCACGAATTGAGTGGAGGCCGAACCTCTTGCAACGATCATAGCGCGAACTATACAAATCTTCTTCTGGAGGAATATAGTTTGCCATTTCGGACTACCTCGAGTACTTATCTCTGACAACGGCAAGCAGTTCGAAGACATAAAGTTCCAGAACTGGTCCAAAGACATGAGGATACAACAGAATTTCACCTCGGTGGCGCACCCTCAAGCCAATGGCCAAGCAGAAGTCACGAATAGGGCCATCCTCCACGGACTGAAGGCACGATTAGCCCGAGCTAAAGGGTTATGGGTTGATGAGCTACCTAGCATACTTTGGGCCCATCGGACCATTGTGAAGACCGCCACAGGTGAGACTCCCTTCAACCTCACTTACGGCACGGAGGCAATGATCCCAGCCGAGATCGAGGTGCCTACGCTACGCTTGGAGGCACACGACGAAAAAGCGAATGAGAGCGAGCTATGCACCAACCTCGACCTACTTGAAGAGGTACGAGACCTCGCATACATTAGGACTGTGGTCTACTAGCAGAGAGTAGCTCGGTACTATAACGCCAGAGTCAAGAAGCAGAATCTCCGCGTTGGAGACCTGGTTCTTTGCAAAGTTATAGTGCCTGAGCCCGGTGTTGGTAAGCTCGGACCAAATTGGGAAGGACCCTATCGGGTAAAGCGGCATCTCAGGGAAGGTACGTACGAGCTCAAGGTCTATGGGTTGCCCCCCAAGGTCTATGGGCCAAGACGTCGAGCTAACAAAAATACCTTGGCACCATACAAGTCCCAGTTGCCTCTTCGGCATGGGCATATAAGACCCAGTCCCCTCCTTGGCATGGGCGAACTCCAAAGGAGAGTGGACTATGAGTCGCTCCCTCAACCTAAGGGCTAAAAGCTTCGAGCTCAACAGTTCGGCGCATAAAAGACCTCGGCACCATATAAGACCTAGTCGCCTCATTGGCATAGGCAAAACACTTTTAAGTAGCCCGTGTGCAGACAGGTCCGGCATATACCCTACTACGTCGCTCACCTCGGCGTACATTATAAAATTGCCCCAAGTACTGGGTGACAGTTCGGGGCAACGACAAAGTGAGGAACCCCCCATTTTGGTTATCTAGCTTGATAGCTCAACAGTTCGGGAAAAAATCAGTACTCAGAAGATTAATTGCACAACACTTAGCAAAAAAGGTGTATTTCATTATAAAGAGTTCGTTACATAAGGGGGAGAGAAGAAAAAGAAGCTGAGCTCGCAGGTTCGAAGTACAAAAAACTATTCGGGGCACTTATCACCCTTGCTCGATGTCTCAATGGAGGAACCAGCCCTGTCATCGGCACCAGCTTTGTCGTCGGCACCAGCCTCTTCAGCGTCGAGTAGCCCATCATCGCTCTCCGCTTCGAAGTCTGGGTCTCCAGCGGCTTCAAGGGCCATCTCATTTGTGATCCATGAAGTAGTGATAGCACTCATATCGAGCTGCGGGAACTCGCGCTTGGTCAGCCACCTACTTAGCTTGAAGCCCTTACGGTAACCCTCAGATCCGGCTTTGATTAGTTCTCCCTCGAACTCCTCTGAGCTCTTATAATCCGCGATGGCCTTGACCTTGGCTTCCTCTATGGCCTTGAGAAGAATTTCAGTTTGCTCCTTAACGTTGGCCTCAAGGTTCTCCAATGTCAGTGACGCGATGAGTTCTTCCTGAGCTCGCGCACAGTCCTCCAGTTGACTAATCTTGTCGCGAGCTAAATCCAACTCAGCATGAGCCTCATGAGATGAATTCTCAGCAGCTAGAACCCGTTTTAGGTGCTACTCAGACTGGTAAGTCAAGTTGTGCACAACGGAGTTTACCTGTCAAGAGCATAGATTAGTACCAGCAAATTTACAAATACAAAAATCAAAGCAGAACAAGACTTACCACCATGCAGTGGGTAGCTACCCGAGCTCCAAGCTGAGCAGGTGTTAGTTCAGCCCAACTCGTGACTTCCTCAGAATACATAGCCCCTTTGCTCTTTTGGAGGCTGTATTGTAGAGTCAAGATACTCTGAACTATCTCTCCGCTCCCCGGAGAAGCAACAGTTGTCGTAGGGGTGGGCCTTGTAGACATCTCGGGTGCACAAGGTGGGACCTTCTCTGCCTCCAAGTCAATCACCGGAGGTGCACTGGAAGGCTGTTCGGGCTCAGGGACGGCGGGCTCTGGAGACTCAGTACGAGCTCTTTTGGCAGCTCGCTTCTTCTTCTTTCCTTTCATCCGCCCAAGAAGCTTGTCTGCGCTGAGATTCATGGGAGCTGCAACAGAACTTGGCGTTAGCAACGTCAACAAGATAGAGTATCAACCATCAGAATAAAACACTAAACCAAAGACGACCTACTAGGACTCAAGCAGGCCTGCACGAGCTTATCTTCGGCAAGGTAGTCCTTGCAGTGGAAATCGAGCTCTGCCCAAGAATGGAGCATCTCCCTCGTCTTCAGGTCCAACCTAACACCGAAGTCCTGAATGGCAGCCCTCCAATGGGTAGGAAAAGGCCACCCTGCGGGATTACGAACTACGAAATAACTCTGCTTCCAGGCCAGGATCCTATTGGGTAGTTTGTGTAAAAGTTTATAGCCCGGGCAAGGAGACAGATAATAAGTTCACCTATGCTCGGGAAGGACACAAGAAGAGTTCTTCTTGATGGACAAGATAGATGAGAAAATCTTGAGGTCGAGAGGTAGACAATACTCGTAAAAAAGAGAGATCATCCCTACTACTTTTCGAATTGAGTTCGGGTGCAATTGGTCTATGGTGATGTTGAAGAACTTCAGGACCTCTATGATCAAAGGGTGCAAAGGTAAGCGAAGACCATCCATGACCTGCTCTTCAAAAATTATGATCTCGTTATGATCGTGCTCCCAAGGGAAATTGCTTACGAGGAGACTATAGGTGTACTCATCCGGGAGGTGGTATCGACCTATTAAAGCCTTAAGTCTATCTACAGTCAGTGTCGAGGGACCGAACCTATCTGGCGCCTGACCTCGATGAGAAGTAGATGCCAGATTATTCGTGGCCTCTCGCGCCTCCCAGGATGACTCCACCTCGGGAGGACCGACCTGAGCCGAGGTACCTTCCTCAGGCTCATCCAAAAGACTATCAAAACTAAGTTGCGACATAACTACGAATTGAACTAAATTGAAAAAGAATCTAGGGAAGACTCACCTAGAGAAAATGACCGAACTAAGAAAACGACGAACTGGGAAACCCGAGCTAAGGAGCCTAAACGCGACATCCGAGCGAAGGCTAGTGAACTTATGGTGAGGAAAAATGTCTCGGGTCCCCTCTATTTATAGCCGCTATGTCCGAGAATCAACGGTCGAGATCAAGGCGATCCAACGACTCTCAAGAAAACCGGTTGCACAACCCCCGAGATTGAAATCAGTTCAACACGTTTTTTGGCGTCCACGGAGTTTATAGATCGCGTGCCATCCACGTGTGAACCGTACGTGACCTGGGTTATCCTTGATTGAGCTAAGCAGCAAGCTGGTCCAACCGATGAACTATCTGACTGGACGGTCTATACTTCGAACCAAATCCACCCGTCATATCGTGAACTCCCCACACCAGGTCAAGACCCCTGGCTCGAGGAGTGGGGAGCAATTGATGGAGAGTGATTTGGCCTGACCTCATAATAAGGGGACACATGGACGTGACTCGGCATAGGTGACAACTTAGCATAGCCAGCTCGCTACAAAGTAGTACTCCACTACCCCGAGCTAGGGATCCTTCGAGCTAAAATCGTTCCGAGCTAAGAGCACCTCGATACTCATCCCGAGCTAAGGGCACCTCGACACCAGGTCGCGGCATGAGTTTATAATTCAGTTCGAGGTGTACGACCCTTAGATCRAGAACATTAGTTYGAGGTAGACACTAGCTCGTGTATGCYGATCTACCCTCAACATAATCCCGATAATCACTTTAACGGTTCCCAAATTCCACGGGATCACGCCCCGTGACAACTAAGCATTATCTCTCTGTCCGATCCGGGCGGAAGTGATTAGCCTTATCAATTGATAACGCTATCTCTGGATAACACGGAAGCGGATTCTATCATGGCAAAGATCACAGAACTACCCCGTGAAGCCCGCGAGGACTCCATTATATAAAGGCCCCCCTCCCGGGGCCCAAGGTACGCGTAATCTCTGCCTTCTAGCCTTCCCATTCTGAATTTCTATCAGCTCGCTAAATATTGACTTAAGCATCGGAGCGACCTCGCCGAGTAAATACCCTTGGGTTCTCTGATTTTCTCTACAGATCAGTCGCCTCAGCCGTCAACTGGAAGCCACTTCATTGCCAGCTAGGAGTAGCCAGATTGCACAGGATCAGATATAGATAAAAAGTGGGGGAGAGGATAAATAGGAATTAGAGTTAGCTTAGGAGAGAATCTCTCTGCTAAATTGGAGATAGTTTAAGAGATAAATAGGAGTTAGAGATAATTTAGGAGAAAAATATGAATTAGAGACAATTTAGGAGGAAGTGGGGGAAAGTGGTGCCACTTTGCTAAACATTAGAAAGGAAAATCCCTCTTTCTTTATGGTTGTTAGAACTAATTAAGCATATGTGATTTCCTTATTGGTTTAATGGGTAATTAAGTGAAATTAAAAAAAATGAAAAATTCAAAAAAAAAAGAAAATTAGGAAGGGGGTTTGAAGCATGGAGAGGGCTGCTCACATGGCAGGACCAATTTTAATATATATATATATATATATATATATATATATATATATATATATATATATATATATATATATATATATATATATATATATAGATGTGGGAAAGAGTTTACTTGTTGGGTTAAATAGGGTACGAAAGCTTATCAGATTACTGCACACCTACTCTTCCGCTAGAAAATGAAAGATCCAAGCCGTCTATTCGGCTAGTTAGGGAACACCACTTTTATGGAAGTTTCCCTTGTGCGGCTACGCTAATTAATTTTATATGTTCATTCAAACTTTCAATTTTGTAATTCAGAAAAGCCCATTTAGTTGAAATTTAGGTTGTACTTGGATAAGTTTTAGGATTTATGTTCTACTGAAATGACTTAATTGTTGAGATAGTCACTTGGCACCCCTCTAAATATGAAGCTTCTGATTGGTTCCTGCATGGCCCATTTTGATTCCAACTATTTGTTTGGTTGTATGAGATTCCCATTCCTCTTTTTGGGGGAATGGGATTGCACTCAGGGTTAGTCAAGAAGTGAAGAATTCATGACAAAAAAAAAACTTTCAAACCCTAATACTAACAAAATAATAAAAATATTATTAAAATAATAATAATAATAATAACAAAAATATTAATTATTAAATATAATAATAATATAAAAATATAATCAAGTAATAATAAACGACAAAGATATTATTTCTTAAATGATAAAAAAATTAAGTACATATAAAATGTTAGTACAATATAATAAATTAATAATAAAATTCTAACATATAAATTATTAAACAATAATAAAATAATTTTAAAATAATAAATATTGATAAAATAATAATAAAATATAATAGAACAATATATTATTAATAAAATATAATAACAAAAATATTATTATATTAATAATAAACTACTAATATGTTAATACAGTTTTCATAAATCAATGATAAATACTAAGATAATAATTATTAAATACTAATAAAGTAATAATTATATATTCATAAAATATTAATAAAGTAATAATAAAATAATACAAAATTGAAAAATTTTTAATTGATTATGATTCCAATTCCCGATTGAACCAAACAAGCATCAGGAAAGGGTGATTCTGATTTTGATTCATGGGGGTTTCAATTCTATTTCCAATCTTGTCCATAATCCAAATGTACCCTTAGTATCATACGCACCAAAACATTCCAACATGCATGATTTGCGTTTGCACATCTCATATATGGTGGGTCCCGATCTTATGGTAAGATGTGCAAAACAGATCATGTTGGAAGAGTGGTGAGACAATTTTTGTTGGGAGGAGACACAACTTTGTTCTGCCCCGCCCTTATTCCCCTATAGTGTGGAGTATAATGCCAAAAGAAGGGGCTTACAAATGTTTTTGAATTTAGATTATTGTGTTTTCAAAAACTTCACTATTATCAAATGTACTTCAAATCGTTTTTTTTGCTCAGTTTTGTTTTCGCCCAAAGTATAGAAACAAAGGCTTATTATGAGCTCCGACAAACTCATGGCCGGCTCAAAGAGATGGAACTGCCACCCATTTTTTTAGAGGAAATGGGCCCTCATTTTCAGATTCGAAAAATTCAATTCAAGTATTTGATAGTAACTTTGTTCTCCTTGTAAAAGGTACACAACTGAGAGATTTTGGGTTCCAAGGATCAGGAGAGGGAAGTTATTAGGCACCCCTCTCTCTAAGCTGTTGTATTAGCCCAATATGGGAGTTATTCAAACTCAATTTCTTTCAAAAAACCAATAAACGTAGTTGCCAAAATTTATGAAATCTGGAGAAACGTGTTCTCAGCTTCTCTTGAGACCGACTTTGAGGTGATTTTATCGRGTCTTAGGTACTAATTTCCCTAAGACCCTTGCCTCTTTGCCTCTATACTTAGTCTAGAAGAAGTCGAGAACAATGCTTTCTAAGGTCTCAGAACTTCAAATGATATAGGAAAACTAAAAAAGACTTACCTTTCGTATGTACCATGTCAACAATTTTCCAGCAGTTAAGGATGAAATAAAATGAAGTTTAAATGGGTTCTTGAGCTAGGAAGTGTTTCTAAATGCAACAAATTCCGCTTGAAAATGGAGGAGACGAGTTTGGAATCTGAGGTTCAGAGTACCTCCAAATTTCGGGTGAACATGGAGCATTATATAGGCTAGGAGAAAGCTCTATATAAATGAAATATGTATTTTTTATATTTATTAATTACCTAAAATAATTAATAGATCGAATTCAAATCAAATCAAATATTTTTTAATATTTTCAACATTGCTAAATTAGCCTAGAGATTTCTGGTTAATAAAAACTACCTTTGGTCAAAAATTACAAAAGGAAGATGCTTGAAAAGTAAGAATTTTTGGTCTATCAAAGCTCCAATTAATTGTTCTTGGGGTTTCAAGAGTCTTATGGGAGGGAGATATTTTAAGAGAAGGAGATTGTTCGAGTGCGAGATATTTTAAGAGGAGATTGTTCGAGTACAACTAACATTAGCATTTGCGATGAGCCTTGGGTTTTGTGTTTATCTCATTTCAAGCCTAGTGGGCCTTGACCGGCCTCTTCCCACTTAAATTGGGTAAATGATTTAACTAATCAAGGTGCGAAGGAAGTACGATGAGTCAGGCTTTCACTAATGGCTTGGTTAATGTTATTTGTGATCTTGATTTGCCAAAGGTTAATGGTTCTGGCAGGCTTGTTTGAACCCCTAATACCAAGGGTTGCTTTTGGGTCAAGTTGGCCTACTAGATTGCTTTGCAGTTAAATGCTAGATAGGAGTCAAGACTAATTAATATAGATTTCAATCCTCAGAAATGGAAGAAATTATGGGCCTTGTCAGTAGTCCCTCCAAAGATTAAAAGTTTTTTTTTTTTTTTTTGTAAATATTGTCACAATAGTATGGCAGTTAATGAGGTTGGGCCTTTGGTGGGYTGTGTTCCCTAATCTATTACGCATGCCTTGCTTTTTCGTGATGGTTTTGAATCGTATTTGGATCAAGATGATAAAGTTGATATTTCTGATCTCCCTTTGCTTATTATACAATACTTCTTATGTGGCCAGTGGCTTACATGGAAATCCCGGAATGGTTTTATCTTGAATGAGGTTCAACCTGTCCTAACTTTACAATTTTGAATACAAACAGGTTGATGATAAAGGTGAGGAGAGCTTCGCAAGTCTCTACCTCCACAGGGTGTTGTTAAAGAGAGAGACATTGAAACTATGAAAATTCCCACTATTAAATCAGAAATATATATGAGAAAGTAAGGACATGCTCAATGCAGATTTCTCTGTTGCAAAGCTAAAAGCATTTAAAATGTCAAAAACCACCATTTTATACACCAATGCCTATCTGTAAATTAGCATAAATTCTGAGCTAACACTCACCCCAATTGTATTCTGGGCTTAAAAATTCTGACCCTGGGCTGAACTCTCATTCTCCCAATTATATATTTATGAATTGTACCAAGCCTACGATTCCTCAACAGAGGGGAATTTAGCAAACTGAATCCTAGGGGTGGCAATTTTCCCCGTCCCCAACGGGAACCCAGGCTCCCCGACTCGACGGGGTCGTGGTTGGGGATGGGGCAATCCCCGAATCCCCGATCGGGTTCGGGGACGGGGAATGCATTCCCCGCCCCCATCTGGCCCCGATTAATATATATATAATTATATATAATATAATATTCTATTTATTATATATACTRTAATATTATATATTATAAATTTATATATATAAAGTTATTCGTTTTTAAAATATTAATTATTAAAACGTAAAAAACAGTACAAGTGTAAAACACTAAACTAAAACCCTCGACAAAGAGAAGAGAGAAGTCGAGAACTCTCAACTCTATCTCTGGAACAGCTAAACCAGTGAACCCTAGCTTTGTGCGTGCCTTCACCTTCAACTCTTCGTCGCCAAATCGCCGAATCGCTGACTGCTGTCACTGTCGCCCACCGCCGCCGTCAAAATACTCAGAACCCTACCTTCATGCCTTCTCGAGTAATAGAGAAGAGATACTCAAAGAAGAGTTTCAATCATCAGTCCTTCTAACCTTTGCCGTGACATCGTCACCCATCGGACTCTCTCTCTCGTCATTGACCTCAACTCTTCCAATGGTCCTCTCTCTCTCAGTCTCAATCTCTCTGTTTCAACCTCTTAGTCCGTTGGGGATTCGGGTCTTCCATAGGGATTTCATCCCCATTGGGGTCGGGGATGGGAAATGTAATTCCCGCCCCGTTGCCATTTCAACTGAATCCCAGTTGTTACTCGTCTAACTTAACTCGAAAAGTTTATTTACCTCCGCTGTTTGTCATGGGCAAACAAGGATCATTTGAGACCAACTAACCCACTCAAATTGAGCAGACCATTTGAGGCCTAAGTTTGCCATGGATAAAAGTGGAATTTAAAAAATTGTAGCATTATAATGGCATTTTCTTTCTGTTTTTTTTTTCTTTTTTGTATTATGTCAGAATTTTCTGTCAATAAATTGCACATGCATTTGCTTGAGAGGCAAGGGGAAGATTTTACAAAAGTCAGAACACAGGGGAGGTTTAAGTAATTTACCGCCTTTCTGTATTACATGGACACAAATACCCTTCTTATATATGCATGAGTCTGCTTTTTCTTTTGCTTGGTTTTCCATCTGTACATCAACTTCACTGTAATGTATCCA